GTTATTAGTACCAGTGGATATGGATCAAGACCAGGAAACCAAGTCGGAAGCAAAAGAGAGTGTATGAACGGACAGTGACATTATATAGTATTGAGTGAACAATGCATTAGAGAAATTTACATTCAGATTTAAGACGCGATCGCATCGACCCCAGTCCTTCCGGTGTATTGGAATGTAGACAATAATCTCTCTGCGATCGCCTTTTGGACGATGTTTATTTACGTTTTGTTAGAGCATGCGCATAGGAGCTAATATGGCGTGCGAAGGAAAACAGTGTTTTACCTAAATTTACTATTTTGTAATTTTCCATATATTTTGATAATTAAAGTGAGTTGAAACCTGTTTTTCGCCTCATTTACTGGCAATCCCAGTACAATTTCAAATGTGTACTGTGAACGGCGTATTGTCTAGAAAAAATCTAGTTACTTGTGGGATCCCCCAAGGTTCAATTCTTGGGCCACTCCTGTTTCTAATTTATATAAACGATCTGCCTAAAAGTCTTGAACACTCGTCATCAAGAATGTTTGCCGACGATACAACGTTAACTGTATCTGGTAAATCTCTTCATGATATAGAAGTTGCCATCAATCACGATCTTTCAAACGTTAATCAGTGGCTCTTTGCAAATAAACTATCTTTAAATCTCGTTAAAACTGAGTACATACTAATTGGATCACGGCATAATATTAATAATATATTTGCTACCCCAAAGGTATTTGTTGGTAACATACCAATTAAAAGGGTAAGAGAAACAAAGGCACTTGGAGTCTATATTGATGAATTTCTATCATGGGAAAAGCATATTGCTAAAATTGCTAAAAAAGTCTCATCCGGAATTGGGGCAATCAGAAAGTTAAAATCATGTGTAGACCGTAATACATTAATTTGTGCCTATAATGCACTTGTTTTGCCTCACCTTGATTATTGTTGCGAAGTTTGGGACACCATTAATACTACACTTTCTGATCGTCTCCAGAAATTACAAAATAGGGCTGCTAGAGCTATCATGGGTCGTAAAATTGAACAGGTCAATCTGAACTTGCTCTAAATGAATTAAACTGGAAACCTCTGAGCGAACGCAGAACTCAGTTTGTGGCAAGTCTTATGCATAAAATTACTCATGATCTAGCGCCCTTACGACTTACTGATATTTTTCAAAAGACGTCTTCCTCCCAGCATTATAATTTTCGGGGCTCTTCCACTAAACTCCATTTGCCCAAGCCTAAGACTGAATATCTTAAAAAAAGTCTTAGCTATGGAGGGGCTAAACTGTGGAATAGTCTCCCAAATGAATTAAGAGGAAAAGAATCACTAGCTATATTCAATAAAAACGTATGACACCTGGCTACTAATTAGAGTTTTTAAACCCATATTTACCTTGACTATTTAATCTATTAATATTTACTATTATATATGTATGTATGTATTGTATGTACTATTATCTATTTAATTATGTATGTAATTGTAATAATTGCATGTAAGTAACTGTATTTGTACGTTTAACTTTTCTAAATTTTTAATGTAAATTTGAATTTAATGCTACGCCCCCCTTGGAAATCAGCTTTTTCTGTAGGGGTTAGCGTAGTAAAATAAAGTTTTACCTACCTACCTATATGTTTAATGGAGCAGTTTTGAAAGGAAATATTCGATACCTTCATTCATGAATTATGAGCATGTGTCCATGTTTAAAATTTAAATTTGCCGCGACAATATTTGAATTAAAAAGATGATATAAATTCGTAAGTTTTATAGAATGGCTTACATTTGACTGTATATTAAATTACGTTTATTGTATAAAGGGCAACTAATATTTGTGTATATGAATATATGACAGATTGCCAGATAACAATGTTTCTGGTATAAAGTATAATAGCTTGGCATCTACTCAATCATCATAGCTCAGAACGAAGATAACTATGTGACAGGAGAACGGAACAGGACTTTCGTCCCACTTGAAACCTAACCCCTAACAATATACGCAATATACTATTTGTCTTTACTCAACAATATATACATTATACTTTAATTTGTATACGTTTATATACATATACACATATTTGGAAACGACTACCATGACAAAAAGAAGTTTAGGAATGACTATAATTAGCCGGAAAAACCAGGAGGACTGTATGTTGATAACTTTGTAATGTACAAGTTAATTAGGGTAGACTTGAATGCAGGTAACGAGTGGTAGACTTTAAGGTATGATGGCAGACAGTTCCATAGTTCGGCTTATCTAATAAAAAACGATATTCTGTAATAATCTTGTTTATGTTTAATTATTAGATTGTAGTTGTTAATATCATAATTCCGAGATCAATATTTTGGCTCGAAAGTACAAAGGAAATCATTGACATCAATGGAAATCAGTCCTGCTCTGGATTTAAAAAGAAGCATCAAATCGGCAATTTCTCTGCGAAATTCAAGGGGAAGAAGATTGGTTCTGGCAAGTCTCTGTGTATATGACATGTCCGGAGGATAGTTCAGTATAAATTTAGTTGCCCGCCGCTGGACGTTTTCAATTAGGGAACGATACTTAACTGTATACGGTGACCACAAACTACTGGCATACTCAAGTTTTGGCCGCACAAGAGCACAGTACAACAATTTTCTGACTTTTAGATCAGGGAGTTCTTTACATACCCTTTTAACCAGACCGAGCGTTTTATTAGCCTTGGCCACAATACTTTCAATATGCCTTGACCACGACACATCATTTAACACAGTGACACCAAGATCCATAATGAAAGGAACAAAATCCAACGACTGAATATCAATGGTGTACACTGCTTGTCTTATCAATGACTTCTTCCTGGAGATGTTCATTACCTTGCATTTAGACTTATTAAATGCCATTCTCCAGTCCAAACTCCACCTATGCAAGCGGTCGAGGTCACTCTGAAGATTGTAACTGGAGATTGAATCGAGAATGGGTTTGAACAGCTTGGAATCGTCAGCAAACAAATCAATTGTTGAGTTATACTGAATGTAGTTAGGGACATCATTGACGTATAAAACAAACAACAATGGACCGAGTATAGAACCTTGTGGTACACCAGACGTGACAGGAAGCCAGTCAGAGAATGATCCGTCTAGAGCAACTCTTTGGTACCTATCTGTGAGGTAACTACCAAACCAACAAAGAAGAGATCCGTTGATACCATGATGCTTTAGTTTGAGTAATAACAAGTTGTGAGGGACTTTATCAAAGGCTTTTGATAAGTCAAGATAGATTACATCAACTTCGTTACCGGATGCTACGGAGTCCAGGATGTCATGGTATACTTCTAATAGTTGTGTTGTCGTTGATTTACCCTTGAGAAATCCATGTTGAAATTGATAGAAAGAAGGGGAGAGGTGATGATAACAGTGATTAAAAACGCAACGTTCCACTACTTTGGAGATAACACAAAGCAAAGAGATTGGTCTGTAGTTCAATGTTATGGTGGGATCATCTTTTTAAAAAACAGGGGTAATATTGGCAAACTTCCACTTAGCAGGTACCACTCCAATAGAGAGAGAGACATATTGAAAAGAATACAAAGTGAAGGAGCAATCTCATCGGCGACCTTGGATAGAATTCTGCTCGGAATACCATCTGGTCCACACGCTTTATTGGGGTCTAAATTACGAAGCACCGCAGCAACTTCTGAGATTGTAAGATCGATATCAGAGAGTTTGTTACAAGAAGATTCCATTGAAGTAGAGAGCGTTGAAGGTGGATCTACGTTGCCAGGGCTAAAAACGGAGTGAAAAAATTTGTTGAATAAGTCTGTGGAATCTTCGGTCGTAAAGGATTGTCCATTTCGAATAAAATTTGGGTTCTGTTTTGTTTTGGTCGAAGATTTCAGAAGTGACTAGAAACGTTTGGGATTTTCAAACATTGACTCTTTTAGTTTATTGGCGTGATCACATTTTTTCTTGGAGATAAGCTTTTTTGTTTCGCGTCGGATTAACCTAAATTTCTCTAAGTCATCAGGGTGATTTGTCCTTAGCAGCTTTTTTCTTTGCTTTTTTTTCTTTTTAATGAGCTCCAGCAACTCTTTATCGATCCATGGGTGATCGTAGACGTTTCTTGAGGAACATTTAGGGATGTGATCATGAACGATTGTGAGAAACAGGTCACACCATTTTGAAAGGGAAGCATCAATGTCCTTTGGAACAAAGCATGCATCAAAGGGGGTATTTAATAGCACGTCCTTGAGACCAGTCCAATTAGCTTTTTTGAAGTTGAAAGCCTCACGCTTGACTTTAGGCTTTTTGTTGATTTTAAGGTCGAGTTCAAAACTAATAAGTTTATGATCAGTATTCAGGATGTCCTCAAAACCTTGAACATTTATGACTTTATCTGGTAAATTGGTAAAAACTAAATCCAGGATGTTATCGGATCTAGTTGGAAAGTCAATGAGCTGATATAAGTAGTTGTCTTTAATAATTTTAGTGAAATAGTTGTGAATACAGTCGTTGTTAGTAGCTGAACCGGTAGACCAATCAATATGTGGAAGGTTGAAGTCTCCGCAAACGACTAAGTGGTCAAACTTTGCTTTGATGGCAAGGTGAAGTGATTTCTTAAGTTCTTTTATGTGGTTTATGTCAGTGTTAGGCGGTCGGTAGAATGCAAGAAACAAAAACTTTTTCTTAGATTCAAGACGGATTTCGCAAGCTACAATTTCCGCATTTTCGCTCTCAAGATCTTTCCTTCGGATGCTAAGCATGGTGTTTCTGACAGCTAACATTACTCCACCCCCGCTCCTGCCAACTCTGTCTTGACGGTGAATAGCAAAGTCGTTTCCGGATAAAAGTTCACAGTTTAAAATGTCGGGTTTAAGCCAGGTCTCCGTTACAGCGATTATGTCAATGTTAGATGCTAACGTTTGAAGTTCTTTGGTCTTATTAGATAAACTTCTGGCGTTAAAGTATAAACATCGGATATTATATCTGTTTGAATTTTGATCGTTACCATTGGGATCATGGGTAATGGTCGGACCTGGATTAGATGCAATATCCATATAAATGGTAATATCAATGTAACAGTCCAGCGAACTGCGGCAAATGTAGCCATGTCTAAGCCAAGTCGAGATTTTGGGAGAGTAGATTGAACCTGTTCGTTTCTTTTTTACTATCCTGAGTGACAAGGGGATGTGCATCAAGACAGGGGTATTTTGGACTTGTTTAATGAATTTTTGATGGAGAATCGTTGGAATTGTAAACGCCAGAGTACTCATCGTATCAGTCAAATTGAAGGGTAGAGGGTTTAAAGATGGCGTGATCTTTTATACGAGTGATTCTTATATCTGAGACAGTTGAAGCATTATCTATACAACCAGTAAATAGGCAGATGACCAGAGATAGCATAGAGTAGTAGCTTCGATTTATCGTCATGATGAATTATTATAGCCAAAGTTTGGGATTTCGCCTTGCACGTGAAAGTGGTATGTGATTTCAGGTTAGAAAGGTCAGAGTTCAGAGGCGCAACCAAACTAGACAAACACCAGCAGTTAATTAAAATTCCACAGCAATGGTATATGGGAAATCCCCTGATGAAATTTGTACAATTGACGGTTGGGAAAGTACAAAACCCGTTGTAGTTTAAAATCTAGTTAACACGTATACACTTGAAAACTTGCTGGAGATGATAATATCTATATACTGACCAACTTTCAGCTACGAATATACATTAAATCCAAAGATATAAGAAAAGTTAAAATCCCAGGAGTTAGTTATAATTCAATATAATAGAATACACGACGCCACACTACAAACAGCGGAAAGTCAAATGTTTAATTCCAAGGTTGACAAAACAATACCAAAATGTGGCGAATAATAAGAACAATATATAAATCCAAAGTAAAAGAAAATTGGAAATACGTAGAACCAAGATACGCAGCCGTAAAGTTGTTGCCTAGGAACGCGACGTGGCAAATTCAAATTTAAAGCACCAACGGTCAAAATAATAATACTTTAATAAAACACGAACAAGGTAGCCAAATTTGACCAAATTAACACGCGAAAGTTATAACACCATTGGTAGAATACGTAGCAAGTTACATACGAATACGACAAATAAATCCAAAGATATAACGAGTAATATCCAAAAGATCAGCTTCGCAACATGTAACGCAACAATAATGTACACAATACGATAATACGATCCAAAATAACTTTACTCCACAATATAAATCCAAATCCAAAATACGAGAAATAGATGCACAAAGTCTTTAGCTTTAATCTAATAAGATATGTTGTACAAAAGCTTAAGAAAATACCTATTTATGCTCAAAATAAAGCGGATGTCTCTGGAGCTATCTGCTGTCTCCATGAGCATTCTGTCATGATGCATTCTGTCATGAGCATTCATTCTGTCATGAGCATTCTGTCATGAGCATTCTGTCATGAGCATTCTGTCATTTCGTGCTAACTCTCGCTCTCTTAAGTTGGGAGAGGAAATAGAGACGCTTTCGCGCCTTCGATATAATCTGGTCAATGTGATTGTTCCATTTCAAATTGTTAGAAACCGTCAGACCAAGGATTTTAGCACTGTCGACCACTTCCAACATTTCTCCATTTACTATAATAGGGTCAAACATTGCTCTTGGTTTGCAGAATCCGATTCATAACTCCTTGCATTTAGTTTCGTTTGAATTGGCTCTCAGAGATTTGTCTTGTTACTGTCATCTATAAGGGTTTGAACTTTTTTCGTTTTTCCCAACAATTTCGTCTAAAGTTGTATCGTCCACAAATTTCCATATATTTTAAGCTTTCATTTAGCCTATAGTGACTTATTACAACACGTCAAAAATCATCCCACCTTCCATCATGTAAACAGCCCCAAAGATGCCTGTTCAGGAGGTAGGAAAAGTGCAATTTGAATACCAAACACCTTGCACAAGGTCAAAGGTCAGCTAAAATTCTAATTCTACTTTCTTGGTATGGGCAATTTTATTTGATACCTTCAATGCCTATAACGTCTGGCTTTTGTATGTATAATTATAACACTGTCAGTGGTGAAGCTAGCCATAGCAATGTGAGGCAAGGTGAGGCAGGAGAGGCAGCCGACCCCGTTGTCCTTTACCAGGAGGGGCAAGGAGGGAAAGAGTGCCCTTTCAATTTAAAGGATTGCCTTGGCGAAATAACGAATTGTCAGAAATGTTAGTGCAATTCCTTTACGAATTTGCTTCAGAAAACGAAAGAACGTGCAGTCATCGAGCTTCAAGAATAACATAATCGCCTGGCGGAGAACCCCTCACACCCCTATCATCCAATCAATAGAAAACATGATTAGGCGAAGTTCAACTCCCGATGTTTCGCAAACATCTCTTGGTATATATCAATTCAAAAGTGCCCTTTCACGAAAATCTGCCCCCTTGCCTTCACATCGTTCCGGCGTCCCTGCAGGTCATGTTATGCAAGTTTTTAATGATTTGTATTATTGAAATAGATGCAGGTTTATTGGCCTGGCATGACCAGTTGGCATGGCAGCTAACTTACGACTGAATACTGTACAAAATCATATTATATATCAACAATAATAATACTTGAATGAATCATTGGACATATAGAATTTAATAACTGCAATTTCATAAATAGAAATATAAAGTTATTTTTTGTCCCAATTATAATTTTAAATGGCACCTTCAAGGCTACCCTGTTGCAAAACAACTGAACAATCTGCTGATGCCTGATGGGGAGACAAAATCTATTTGTTGACAGTTTTGTTTCATATGTCAGCTTCTGATGACACCATTCATTTGAAAATGGAAAAAATTATTCGCCTCAGGCTCGGTGATTATCGGGGAATATTCACCTCGACTTTGTCTCGGCGAATATTCCCCGATAATCACCTCACCTTCGGCGAATAATTGTTAAATATGATGGTAAATGATAGTATACGATGGGATATGATGCTATTGATGTTGTATGATAGTACATCATGATGTTATATGGTAATATATGATGTTATATGATACTATATGATGTTATATTTAACAATTATACCATGATCTCGAGTCGTATATGAGTCGTATAAGAGGGTCATTAGGATTGTCCAGATGAAAATTGAAATCTCCAGCTATCAAGAGTTGCCCGGGTGATACAATAATTCCTTCCAAAAAGGATGAGAACTCTTCAAAGAATAGAGTAGATGTCAATGAGTTAGCCGATGAAGGAGGCGGCCGATATACAACAATAATTCTAATATGTAGAAAGTTCAAAAAAGAACTGTCAAGGTATTCAAATGACCTAAATACCTCCTGTACATTACGCTTAATATTAAGACTTTCCTTGAATAAGAGACCAACGCCCCCACCGATTGATCCATGTCTCGGTGTATGCAGAAAACTATAACCTGTTGGGCATAGATCCCCAATAATCAAATCGTTCCCACTTGGAGGGAGCCAAGTTTCCGTCAAAGCAAGAATATCAGTATCTTTATCCACAACAAAATCTTTAATAATCATAGTCTTGTTTCTAACCGATCTGGCATTAAGAAGGGAAAAATCAAATAAGTTTGTAAGTTCACATTTAGAAGTAGAAGGGACCGTAGGCACAACAATTAGGTTAGAATAGAAACAGTTTATGACCGAATTACTTTGCGGACCAGCTCCAGATGCCTGAGCCAGTCCGTCTGATGTCGATGTCGAAAAACCTGACTCCGGTACGCACGTCTATGTTTATTTACTTTCTCTGGGTTCACTGGCAGTGGACGGTGAGTGATACGTACTGGAATGCTTCGAAATTGTTGACCACGATCATGTAAATAACTAGAGCAAAATTGCCTACCAGGAACATTATAATGACAGCTTTGTTCTTTTTGAATAGGATTTGTACGGCTTCCCGTATGGGAAAGCTCGCCTATTTTCGACTGTTCACTATTGTTCCTAACAAGGAAAACTACCTTTGTCAGGGTTAATTCCTCTTGTGAGTGATTGATGGATTTTGGCAATGGCACCAAATCATGGTGTAACGTTTTCTCGCATGATCTATGGCCATAATGACTGATCTATGGCCATAAAAGTTTCTGTGTTATCCGGTACTTTTATTGGTGTGAAGCATGCATCGTTAGCGGTCCGAACAACAACGGGATTATGAGGATGATTGTAAAGTTAATAAATAAATATAAAAGCACCGCCTTTCGAACCTGGCAGCCCGTTCGCAGGATACACGCGTTATTTCGCACTTGCCGCCTACTGTTTCAAATCACACGCGTCTCCCACGATTTGGCGTACATAATGGCGTACATTTGTTTACATAGACTAGTAATTGTTCAAATTCAACAAATATGCACCAAATAGGTTTATACTAAAAAGGTGTATTTGGAACTTTTGCGCATTTATATTCCCTAAATTGGTGTACATTTACATGTGCCTGAATCGATGTCCGGCGTGCAAAAAGTTAACTTTCCAGAATATAATAACTAATTTACTCCTTTTAATTATATAATAACTAATTTACTCCTTTTTATCACTGTATGTATGAAAATATTATGATTTGCAAGACAAAAGAATGGTAAGTTTTTTGTTTTTTAACCCCTCCCCCTGCCCTACTCTTACTTTCATTCATTTACAGTATGTGCTACTATGTTTCTAAGTAAATAACTCTTGCTATACCAATTATTTTTTTATGGTTTTGCAATTCTGACGGATGTCAGGATGTGAATGGTGCCTTGTTAACTGCCGGATGAAACCAAATGGTTGTTACAGTCAAAATATAATATGGATATATTACATCGCATGTAATAGGATGGGAGCTTCTGGATTAACAGAAATGTATTCTTATTAAAACAAGAGTGCTGATTTACAAGATTGTATGGAAATATTACATCTACATGGATTTATCCCAGGTAGATCATGTGACACCCAGCTAGTTGAGGTGCTCAATTCCATTGGTTCTCTGTTAGACTCGGGTAAACAAACAGATGTTATCTTCACGGACATGTCTAAGGCCTTCGACAAGGTCAGTCACGCTGCGTTTATCGCCAAACTTGAAAGATACAATATCAGTGGATCTCTGCTTGATTGATTTTCTTCTTCTTATCTATATAATTGTCGACAGCGCGTTACTACTCTTCGTGCAAGGCGGTATATTAGGCCCCATCCTGTTCTTCCTCTATGTAAATGACCTACCTGATGTTGTCAATAACTCAAGTGTTGCCTGCTTTGCTGACGACACCAAGATCTTTCGTCGCGTGGATTCTATCTGTGATGCTGATTTACTCCAAACTGATCTGAGTAACCTAGACAGTTGGTCTACCTCCAGTGGTCTCGTCTTCAACCAACTCAAATGTAAATGTCTGTGTGTAACGAGGAAAACCTAGCCCGTTATTTATCCGTACAAGATCAAGGACAGCGAACTTACAACAACATCAGCCGAAAAGGACCTGGGAATTTGGGTTTCCAGTGACCTTACGTGGACCAAGCACGTTCTAGAACGTTGTGCAAAAGCAAACAAACTGTTAGGTTTCGTGAGTAGAAGCGGTAGAGAAATAACCAACACAAGGACTCGTCGTACACCTTATCTGTCAGTGGCTCGCCCTGTTCTTGCCTATGCAAGTCAGGTATGGTCGCCCCAGTCCATAGGTCTCATCAAACGAACACAACGTATCCAGAGAAGAGATTCCAAGTTCATACTGAATCTTCCTTTCATGTGTAGTGAGTCTTACCGTGAGAGGCTGATCACTTTAGAACTGATGCCGTTATCGTACTGATGAGTACATGGATCTCGTATTCTTGTTTAAAGCTATAACTGGTCTGGTTGTCATATCTGAAGATGTTCTCCCTAAACCGATAATTCTCACAAGAGTAACTAGATCTTCCAGTGCCTGTGGGTTATGCCCGTATCAGCGGCTTCCCCCTGGGGTCGACCCCCGGAGACCCAGAGGCATTTGCCAAGTATTTGTGTCCCTTTGGAGTGGGGGAAAGGTCAAATTTGGTTCTCACCCTAAAACCCATGGGAAAGTACCCCGGGGATTTTGTAGGAAACTCCTGGATGTGGGCATGTGACTTCTTCGCAACGCGCGCAGCAGTATGCAAATTAAAGAACTCCAAGCCAGTGTTTTTAAGGCAAAAAATACATATATTCACGATGCCAATTTTAATAATCCCCCAAAATGACAATATAAACAATGACTTGTTAAACAAGTCATTGTTTATATTGTTTTTTGGGATTATTTAATACTCAACAAATGAGAGCTTATATACCGCTTGTACTGTACCCGATTGTGTAACTTGATATTGGATCGAAAAATGGTACGGCCCTCGGGGATGGGGGATTGGATGTAATACCTATGCCTCATACCCAGGGGAATTTGCTAAGATTTGACTGGGTAAGAGGACCAATCCCCCAGGGTTCCGGGGGTCGACCCCAGGGGGAAACCGCTGGTACACGCATATCGTTCCGCCCCCCCAAATGCAGGACTAGGACTTTCCAGCGATTGTATATTACCCGCGTCACGAGAGTATGGAATTGTCTTCCAACAGACTTAAGACACTCAAATTTAAGTTTAAGTACATTTAAGAGTTTATTACGACAATATTATTCGAAAGCCCTGCACAGTTGTTTTGATGCAGAGGACCCAAGAACATGGAGATCTATATGTTTAAATTGTAACTCTTGTCGAAGTTTGACCAATGTTATCAACTGTTGTTTCTAGATATCTGTATGTAACCTATATGTTAAAAGGGCCCGCAGTAAGGCCCCGCCATTCGTCACTTGTATAATATTGTATTTGGATTGTATGCATGTCATTCGTGTAATTTTACCTGGCAAAGTTGAATAAATAAATAAATAAATAAATAAGATCTGCCACTTATTACTACTTATTATTGAATTGCCATACTTGTTTCCAATCTACCATATGGATGTCACGAACATTGTATGTCAAGTTATTACATACCTGTATATATACAGTTATTATTGGACAATAATGATGGCCAACAATGGACACTACATGCTAAATGAATACGAGACATCAACATAATGGACAAAAAACGATGGTAACACTTGTTTACCAAATGAAAAATACAATAGACTATACTATATTATTACTTAGAAAGAACGTGAAAACTTGCAACAAACTTAATCGTATCACGTTAAGACATATATTTGTTCTTCCTAATTATTTTCTTGAAGACGTTTTCACAAATGAAGACTGAAGAATAATTTCTATTATTGACATTTAATGTCAGTTTAAAATATTGTATACCGAGTAAATATAAAAATCCGAAGTACACTTTACAGTATCAAGTAATTATTGCATGTTGTAACTTCGATATTTTTAAATAAAATAAATTCATTCATACAGTGTGTATAACCGGTATAAGGCAATGAAGTTTATTGGTATAATCACCCCCCAGGGCTTTGATCGTAAGGCAGCACTTCCCTTGTGATAGTAACTTCTAGTATTATTATACGAGTTGTCTTTAATTTAAATATCTTGACTCTTGAGCGTCTCAGTTAGGAAACTTAATTTATAACCTATATCTTACTGGCTTTCCAAATGCAAACAAGGCCTCTACGACTTAGATATATCCTTTTTTGTCACCTTTTCTTCTAATGGCTCGTCTCGCACCCGTTCAAGCAAGGACAACTTTCTTCATGAAGTCAATGGAAAACCTCTCTTTTTAGAAACTCTTTTTTAACCGAATTGTCTTTCTATGGAACAATCTCTCTTCGATCATTCGTAACAGTTCGTCTGTTTCATCCTTTAAGCCCCACCTCCATGACCTGCATATTCACTACTCTTCTCAATTAGACTCTTCTTTCGATGTTAACACAATGCGCACTTGGAAAACCTACTGCTCTAAATGCCGTTCTTCATCTTAAGCTGTTGCTCATAATCTAACCTATTAATTTTTATATAATTATGTCCTTGTCTTTAATGTATGTCTACTTGTTGTTTTGTGTCAGGTTGGTCTTCACATGGGACTTGTGTCCTGTTGACCATACCTTCAATCATCGTTATATATTTTATAGCACTTTTGTATGATTGTAAAGCTAATAAACAAATAAACGGTTATGGAGATGTCATACCACGGAATAGAACGGCTGGCATGTTATGTTATGTTATGTTACCTAATTTCCGAATTAAAACCGCTTTTTAGTTAGTGCTTCGCATTCAATAACGCAAAGAATATATATAGAATACATTACTTATACTAACGAGTATAAAGCGAAATATTAGTTTCCACATCAAAAACTTTCCTCGGTGCGTCGAAGGCTGTAAGGCGAAAAATTTCCTCACAAGTATAGGCATCACATTATAACATCTGCATGTAGTCTAGAACATCTGTAGGAGAAACAAAGCTTCGAGAGAGGAAAGATATAGTGTTTCGCATAATTCGTAGTAAAATACACCTACTTGGAAAAAACTAATATTCAACACAATTCGTAACTTGTATTCTTTTCGTTTTGAAGGTCTATTTTGTAAAAAGCCACCAGGAAATAATACTGGACAAGCCAT